AATTGAATGGGGGGGGGGGGGCTATTTTTGAATAGGTGGGGGTCATATTTGAATAAAGTGGGGGCTCAAATAAGGTTCTCTTTTTGGGGGGCTATTTTTGAATGGTTGGGGGGGGGGCTTTAATTGAAAAAGGCAGGGAGGGGTGGGGGCCATATTTTAAGAATACCAGGTTCTTCAAGAATAGGCCCCCACTTTGTACTGGTGGGGGACTCTACTATAGTTGCTTATAAGGTGGGGGGGGGCTATATTTGAATTATACCAATTATTTAACTTTCCAAAACGTGTAATTTTCTGATCAAAGGGTGCAAACTGTATTTATATGAGTTTATTGAAGCCCAATTCAGGTAAGTCGAAAATATAGTAAGTATGACCGGATACATTTGAAGCTTTCCACATTCATTAACCATAAATATAGCTTTAATTCCTTAGTTGGCAAGTTTTTATCATGACTTTATCCAAAAGAGTTATTTTGCTCCGACGTGTCGCGAACGTTAACTCAGAACTGTCATCTGCAGTTTTCGCTTCTTATGTTTTTAGAGCTGTATCTCGTTTGTATGAATCTGTACAAAAAATCTGTCAACTACAAAAATGAAGCTCTATTTTTGTTCCATATCTCTAGAAATTTTCAGTCCTCTACGACAACGTACGTTATTTTTCCAAACTTTCAAACATGGTGTTTTTTCAACTAAAGAAAGGTCAGTATATTACTTTTTGTGCTACAAACATACATTGTCGTAGGGTTCTTTTAAATGGTCTAACATAACTTATACAATCCTGAAAAAATTTGGAAAAGGCAAAAATTGTTTCTTGCAAACCTTCCACTTTTTGTGAAAAAATTTCGAAAATCATTTCTAAAAGAAAACTTTTCTACTGAAATTAATTCAGAAATTGCTTTGAAAACATCACTTTTTAGTGGGAAATTTGAATATCTGCTTTTTACAGCGAAGAAATCGTATAATGTTATTTACATTTTCAGATTCAGAAATGATATTTATCGCCATCGGAAAAGATTCTGAAACTTTCATGGATATCAGAAAAAATACAGAAATTGAAGTGGCTTCATAATTATGGCGCGCAGTGTATATATTAAAGTATATATTTTCAGTCAGTCGACTACCGAGCTTCTTGTGCTTGCCATCACACCCTCGTTTCTTCTGGTTGGGTGTGCTCAATTTGCCTCTCTGTGCTTTGTCAGTACACTCCTATCTGCAAAGTGTGCAAAGCTGCTTTCACCATCACGAATCTCCCTAAAAAGCCAAGCCGAAAGCGTACTTTGAGATCCTAAAAATTTAAAATTTTTATCAAAATTGACCGGTATTTAACTCTGTCATAAACATTTTCATTTTCTTAACCGTCATTTGAATTTCAACGTGAAACATTAATTAGCTCATCCACATTCATCAGCTAACATTGCGCCGCTCAGTAAGACAGCTTTGTATACCCGATGAGCGTGGAAGTTTTGAAAGAACGGCGACTCGGAATAATCCGATTCACTGGCTTCGATGATATAGATGAAATTGAGGTAACGTGCTCAATTAATTTATTACGATATTTCATTTGAAAATTCAGCAAGCAGAAGAAGCGGAAACGCCAGCTCAAGTGAATAAAAGAAAACGTGGAGGGAGAAAAAGGAACAGGAGACAAAAAGTATTTATTAGCTAAACCTAATTCATGTTTCACCTGAATTCATTTTAGATTGAAGGAACTGAAACAGTAAAGAATGAACAGAAAAACACAGACAAGAACAATCCTTTCAAATACTCTAGACTCCTACAGGAAATTCATGATCGTGAGAAAATTCATGGAATGAGAAGAGAAGAAGCTCGTCAGTTATTGGAAGACAAACTTCTTTTTCTTGGCGACACTTCACTTCAAAACGTTCATCTCCGCCGTTCGTGTCTGGTTGTGACTTCTGATGAAACATTTCAGTTAGAAGATGGTTCGAAAATCCCATCTGAAATCATTACGGTATCAATGGATAACGGGAAAGTTTCCTCAATTTTGAGGTTCTTTCCTTCCAAAACTAGAAATTTCGAGATGGAAAGTGTTGAAAATTATCGTAGGCTAAATTATCAGAATATCAGAAGACATCTTTAATTTTCAGAAAACCACCGTATGCGTCGTGTTTACTGGAATCCTTCTGTTGCAAAAGATACCAATTTGATGTTCCGAACATGGAGCCATTTTCTCGATCGATGTCTTTTGTCTCTGCTACTCGTTCCCCTTAATAAAATGGACCAACTCCTGGATTTCCTACGCAAAATCAATGAGATCCGTACTTCTCTGAACAACAGAGTTACTGTATCCATTTGCTTGAGTCGTGTGATTTGTGTCGAAGATTATCTAAACGCAGTTCAAAATGTTATGAATACTCAAATAGTTCGTTTAGGTCAACGTTTTGAATTTTTAACTCATTTTCAGATATTTAAATCAACTCCGACCATGGATCTGGTTCCGTTACATTTTGCACTTGACTACTGGTTCGTTAATATATAGTTTGTCTTGTTTTTTGATAATCTATAATTACAGTCGTCATCAACTTGAATCTTTGGATCTTGTTATCAAATCAGTAGCTAATTATACATCTTATCAGTATTATGCAGCTCCAAAGCATTATGAAACAAGTGGATTTGAAATGACAAACTGGTCTTGTCATCAGGAAGCACATATCAGTATGGAACCAGAGAGTAGGGGATTCGACGACGAACTAATATTCAGAGTGAAACTGTTTTCAGAGTATCAACGCATCCTACACTGGCTGTCTCAAATGAGTTTGGATGAATCGGAAAATTTGGAGTTAATTTTTTTAAGAAAAAAAATACAGTTGAAATTTCGATTTACAGAGAGAACTACGACAGATCAATGTCATATGAAGAAGCGGAGGACAACGATGAACAGGATTTTGCTAGAACTCCATGATTACTAGTTTAACGTGTCAATAAAATATGCAGCTTTCATTTAGCCTTGAAAATAGAAAATGATAAATAGGATTTGAATAGAAGAAATTATGCTAATAAGAGCAGAGAAAAAGTGAAGGATACCCGCTCTAGAAAAGTAAATTATTTGACAAAGCATACGGGATAAGATGAGTGAAACAGATTAGGGCTTGAAAAATATAAACGGGTCGAATACATTCAGATGGAATAGGGGGAAACTTTATCATATTTTAAACATGGGAGTGAGTACTGGAAGACATGGCTCGATTGACATAGACTTGAACGAGATTCATTTTTCCAGCAGACAGACGTTGTAGATGTGAATTCATGGTCTGCATTCCCAGTTTGTTAACCATAGCCACCAAGCAATAAACTGCTGTTTTGCGGACAACGGATGATGGAGAGTCGTACGCCTAAAAAGAATACAAACACATAGAAATGATGATTTAAAGGTGGTGTACGGTGAAATTTTTTATTGCATCAAAATGTGCAGAAATGCATGTAGATTGACTTAAAAATAAAGAAAAAATTCAAAAAAAATCCTTCATCGAGAAAAACGCATCGAAAAATACGCTGAAAGCTGAAAGCCCTTAGGGACGAGGTTTTTTTAGGCCGCCCGGTGAGTAAAAGCGCGCGAATTCAAACTTTTAAAATTTTTTCGCTCGTTTTCACTGTTTTTTCAAATTTTCCGATGTATCTGGA